TGGCATGCCATGTGTGTATGTCAGCGTGGCAGCGAGGCCTGGACCCCCTGCAGGAGATGTGAGCTGACCAATTCACCCTACGCCGCTCTCTCATCAACTCGGCCGACGCGGGGCCCCAGTGATGTCATATTCTCCTTGCGGACATCCTGGATTCAATACACAATGATGGATGGCTTAGATTCCAAACACCAAAAAATAGAAGACCGTAACATACGCCAGTGTAACGAGCATCAACCATCACAAAACCGCTCCGATTCAAAATCGCTCTGATTCGATGTGAAATGACAGGAGCGTTGGGGCGATGCCTCGGGAACCACAACCGGCACGGCGCTGTCGTCGGTCACCTTAGGAACCCAACAGCGCTGTTTTGGGCTACGCCGTCGAGATGGCGTCCAACGTCCAAGATCAAGTGGCATAGTGCACTGAGTGGTCGGACGATACTCTTTAAATAACCGAGAAGCAAATCCGTCTCACCGCCGGTGACGAGCAATGGCAAGGTACAACACCAGCAAGTCGTCTAGCGACAAGTCTGGGGACTCGATGAATCACCACAGCGCCAGCGAAGAGGAGGAGTAGGTGGCGGAGGCACCAGCAGTCGCCATCGAGGAGGAGGACGGCACACTATTTTAGCTGCAATAATGACAACATCCATCCTAGACAAAATTAACAAGTCGATAGACAATCAAATAACATTGGTCCATATTTGAACATGGCATGACAGAGAGATACATCAAATGTAGCTTTATTCATTGCTTTACTAATGACTCCAAGAACAAGAACAAGGGAACATAAGGAAGAAAGTAAGGTCTGCTTGTGAATCCTGAGAGGACGCTACGTCTACCATACCGAAAGACACGGGCAGGGATGGCATGAACTTTTCTGTGATCCATGTCATATGCGATGAATCTTCTTTCCTCCCCAACAAAGAAAATCAAATTGCATTATGGATGAACTGTAATCGCTGTGTAGTTTGACTCATAATCCACGTAACCAAATTGAATATTAGTCTTTCCAAACACCTTCAACGTGATGATAGTATGCTTCAATATCCATTTATTAGTAGCATATTCTTCAAGGATCCAGATTGAAAGCTGGTACATATTGTGACCACCAACGCTACCATCAGTACATACACACAAGTGACCCTAAGCTTGATGGATGGAGGATAGAGTACCATGAGGCCTAGGAATTTTCCTCCATGTCTTTTCCTCCATATCCACTGCAAGTATCACAGAGTACCCCATAATGTGTAGAAAACCATTAAGAAACACATTTGCTGATCTTGAACGTATCACATCATCAATGTTCTAGCCCCATTCAGATTCCTTATAGGTCCATTCTGCAGTTTCAGATGAGTAGATCTCCACACCTCGGCACCCAGCATCATTATGCTCCACAAATTCAATCATATGGAAGTGTGAGGAGGCTGTCAGATCGAACCCCAATCGAGCCTGATCAACAATACGGATGCTAGATGCTAGTAGCCGCAAATTCTTGGTTGCCGGATTGCAGACGACATAGCGGGATCCAGCACTAGCTGCCTCAACGCACGAGCATAGGACAACCCCATTGCAGCAATCTAAGACAGCTACATTGTCCCTGGGGAAGGGCAAGAAGGACAAGTCGGGGCGTTCAATGGTGAAGCTGGTGAACTTTCGCATGCCATTCTCTCCATCGTAGACGAAGCCGGCCACACGATGCAGGGCAGCACCTTATGGTTGTGGGATATGAGGCTGTTCTAGGAGCGACAGAACATTTGCGATGAGAGCAAGGACCGGGGGGAGGGAGGCGAAGGATCTCGAGAACCACACATCGTCTGTGAGGCTAGCTGCTGTGTTCCTCTTGCTTGGGGCCTCCTCCATTTCGTGAGAGAGCTCGCAATCGCCAAGTAGCGATGAAGATGAGAGCTTCCTTACAAATGAGATCACTAAGATCTTGTGATCTTGTTTGGATCAATTCACATGTGTTGGTGTGGATTGAAGTGGATCTTGAGCTAAATTTTACAGCAATCCACCTCAACACATGTGGATTGAGATGAATCTGACAACATCCAAACAAGGCTTAAAGAGGAAAATAATCCGACAAAGATCCATCATTGAAGTGCGAAAGCATACCTTGCCTTTGGATCTGGCGCGCGGCGACGACGAGGTATGCACTCAAATAGCGAGATATAGGAATAATGCGTCGTCAAAGGGAGGTGGTGCGATGGCGTCCAGCCTTATTAGGGCTTCAGTCCATATCAAGGGTCCAGATTCAATATGCACTAATGGACGGCACAGATTTCGAGCATCAACCATCACCGTATGAACGTCCAGGCGGTTGTAACACTTCCGTAACGCACTGACGTTGACTTTGGATCACCACGCGCCCGTTCAAACAATGGTTGTTCACCGCTGGTTCATACGGTAATCCGACGGTGATAACCTGATCACCGCCGGATCTTACTGTAGCACACATGTCCATCATGACACCGGCGGTAAAAAAAATGTTATCTCTGACGGGTTCATCGGGCAGCGGACATAGGACGAGGAGCCGGCGGTGAAAACCCTTCTACCGTTGGACCGGTGGACGACATGGCGGCGAAGGGCGAGATCCTGTTCACAGCCGGATCATACACCGAGCTGGCGGTGAAAGCGTGCATGCATCACCGCCGGTTATTCGGCCAGGAAGGGGCCCATGGGTCATGAGCCGGCAGTGATACGTATCACCGCCGGTTATCTCAAAACCGTTGGTGAAGGTCCAGGCGGTGAATAGACTTTCTATAGTAGTGCACCATGGGTGCTGCTGCTGCCGCTGGGAGGTGCTCTATGCATTTGGAGGGAGAAACCCTAAGAGTGGGGGAAGTGAGGAGAAGACTAAGATCTCAGGAGAGAAAGGGGAGCATAAGGCTACCGAGAGAGATAGGTTTCGCCGTGAGCAGACTTTATTAAATACGGCGAGTTTAAATTTCAAGGCGAGAGGTTTTCCCGACCGGTTCTTAACATTTCCACTAGGCGGCGTGGGACAATTTTCACAACGGTTTTCATAAAACGGATGGTGAAAATGCCATTAACAAAAATCATTTCTATAATAGCAGTGAATGCAAAAATCACAGTTAGAACACCATATTAAACTTTACTACATAGTACATATTTAACCTGTGATAAGTTGTAAAGTTTGCTCAATACACGAGGTACAGCACCTCCTCTTCTCGGCTACATAGTGTTTTTCACAAAATTGCTTGTCAAATTATACTAGCATTTTCCCTAAAGCCAATGGCACGAACTGTGCCGCCCCCTGTCTCCCTCTCAGTCACACGCCCGGTGCTAGTAAACCGGTGCACGATGTTCCTTCCCAGCACGTATGGATACTTTAGACACATTGTCACTGTTGCTGTCACACCTATTGGGTGACGAACGCATTGCACATGTTTTCCTTGTGCCAGGGTGTAGGGACATAAGCCTACTTCCAATACATCAATGTGCACTACGTTAGAATGGACTGCTCCAACTCTTGTTCCGTTTTGTTGCGTATCAAGGGGTAACGATCTATGATCTTGTTTGCTCAAAAAACGATGATAAGATCGAGAGACCGTGGAGGAGACCACACAGGTGCTCTTTTGGGATTCTATTTTGGCCCGCATGAGATTTTTGTGGGTTGAAATTTTTATGTAGTTTTCCTATGTGTCACATAAAACCCAGCAAAGAAATCATATCACTAACTGATAATAAGTCAATTTCACTCTGTGTATTACTTATACCATCAGAGAAATGCAATTTCTCTATCGGTATGTAGCCCTTCTTTCAATGGTTGTATAGTTTTTTAGGGTTAAGTCAATTTACACCTCAACTTGCAGTTCAAAGTTCGGTTTTCAACCTCGAACTTCAAAACCAACAACTTTGGCCTCAACTCTCGAAAAAGTTCAACTTTCAACCTTTGTTTTGAAATTTGTTTTGCGGGTAAACAGTAACTTTGATATTTTCAGGGCGCTTGAAACAATTTTATTTTTTTGAGCATGAGACTCAAATTTCAAAAAATAGAAAAACCTTCAAAACGAAGTTGGATGAAGATAATCATTATATATAAATTGTAGAACTATCTTCATGAGATCTATTGAACTTTGTAGTTTTGAGTTGTTTCATTTGAGGACAGTAAGATCACTCGATAAAATAATATAAAATTTCAGCACCATATTTTATCGCGTGATGAGACTCAAATTTCAAAAATAGAAAAAACTTCAATACGATGTTGTAGATAAAGATAATTTTTATATGTAAATTGTAGACCTGGATGAGATCTACAACTTTGTAGTTTTGAGTTTTTTCATTTTAGGACGTTAAGATGCTCTAAAAAATAATATAAAATTTTGGCGCTCCCAAAATATCAAAAGTTACTGTTCACCCGCAAAACCGCTTTGTATTGCAGGTTGAACTTTTCGAGAGTTGAGGCCAAAGTTGTCCGGTTTTGAAGTTCGAGGTTGAAATCCAAACTTTGCTGCAAGTTGGAGGGTGTAAATTGGACTTAACCCATTTTTTTATAGGTTGTCGTCCACACGACACAGGATAATACATAATTTTTCTGTTGGTAGAGGCCATACTGACAGGGGAGTTCCATTTTCCAGTAGTGAGAGAACTTTGCAGCATTCCCCATGGCACGATGATGATGGGCATTCACAAAGAAAGGGGAGCCAAGTTGAGTCTTGAATAATTTAATAGCAGCCTGCAAAGAACAGTCACGTGCATAGCCAAGACCAATCAGGTTCCAACAGCATTTTGCAAAATCACACCGACACACCATGGAAACAGATGTTCGAAGGTTTCGTCCTCATCTTCGATGCACATCACACAATGGCACAATTAGATAATAGATAGCACTGTCGAATTATTAAAATCTCAGTCGCACGGGTATAATCTTAACCAAAGTACATACAGATTTGTCGCTCCATCTTGGCGAGAGACAAAACACATAGTAGGAGAGACTGGAATTCGTCCGAAGTCCAAACCACCTGATTCCTAGCTAGGCTAGGCCCAGGTTTGGGTCTGCCGGGCGCGGCAGAGTGGGCAGGTGGCGTTCCCGCGCAGCGACGTCTCTATGCAGGTGGCGTGGAAGTAGTGCATGCACGCTGTCAGCACCCTCACCTTCTCGCCGTCGACCAGCTCCGACAGGCACACGGAGCACGTCCCCGGTCCACCCTCCGCCGTACTGAACGTGCACTTGAGCGTTGGCGCCGGCTCCGGTGCTGGCGCAATCTCCACGTCAGCCGCTGGCGCCATGTCCACGTCCGCCGCCGGCGCCAGCAACTCCATGTTTTCCAGCATCCACTCCACGCCGGCCTGCGTCAACTGCACCTCGCCCAGCGCTACCTCCACGTCGGCCGCGGGCACCTCTCTGCCACGGCTGGCGGCTGCTGCCGCCACCGCCGCCGCGGAGGTCTGTCATCTTGGCCGCTGTTGCTCTGCGGTGCACTGCCATCACCGCTTGCGGGCAGCGGTTGCTGCTCCTGCAGTGGCGGCGGTGGAGCGCTGACAGCTTCACCGTCGTCGCTGTTGCTCCACAGTCCAAGAACAAACCAGCTGGTATCCTGCTCGTCGTCCTTGTCCTTGCGGCAGAAGAGGCAGCAGACACCCAAGCAAACCAATAGGAACGCCAAGAAGGAGGCGCCGAACAACACCTGGTTTTTTGTCTCACTTGGCAATGATGACCATGGTGGGATGCCGTTCTGTCCCAGCGGCTCCTGCCAGTTGAACGCCGTGGGAGCCGTTGCGCACAGATCGACGAGACGCCGGCGTCCTCCCGCCGCAGCCGCAGCCAGTAAGGGCATTCTGGCCATCAATTGATCAGGCAGAGGAAACGGCCAGGCAGATTGAGATTGCCACGTGAGGTTCACGATGATCTTGCAACTGCGAGGTTGATCAATAAATCAAGAACATAGTTTAGATATATGTATAAGCATACCATTTCTGAAACTCTAAACAAGAATCTTTCTAGGATTATATATACTTTTTTATTTTATTATATAGAATAGAAGGGAGGAACAGAACCGAACGAAGCAATGCGATATAATGTTACCCATTCCACATTCCCCACCTAGTGCGCCAAACAGGAGACGGAGGGCAAAATAAACCCCTCCCAATCACGAGCTGTCCGTGCCCGATCTGACGGCTACGAACCTTCCCAGGGCAGAGAGTAGAGGACTCATCAGAAAAATTTCTATGTGACACCATAGCTGCCACACCATCTAATCGCGTGACACACGTCCTGCAAGGTATGCAAGGCACTAAGGCAGTATCGGCTCAGGCCACGCGGGGTTGATTATCGTTTTGACCGGTGGGCCTTGGGATATGCGTCAAACAAGCACATTGTGTCGCATGCAAGGCAGTATGCGAGACGTTGTCACATAATTTTTTCTCTGAATTCATCCATATAACAGGTAACCCCACACTTCGCACGGGAGCGAAAAAACAGATTTGTAGTCTAGCAGGAAAAGAGGAAAATAAGAGAAAAGCAATGTATACATTACTACACGGTATTTGATACAGTATATGGTTAACAGTGGTACTATATGCAGTACCCGGTATAGCAACCGGCATCGTGGTCTCCTTAGGGAGCAGAAATGGTATAAAAAACGTAGATAAAGGTAGATGGCAGATAGGAGTATATTCTATAAGGAGCACGTTAACACGTCATGGGTCACGTTCGTGTGACCCGTCGTCTACCTCGCGACAGGCCACCTCCACCGCCCCCTTCTCCCTCCCGGTGCCCCTCGCCGTCATGTTAGCCCCCGCCACCAGCCACCGCCCCGCCGCAGGCACTAGCTCCAGCAAACCCTTCCGCCCGCGGCGGCCGCCTTGTTCGCCTCTCCCCCCTCTCGCCGGAGCGTCACCAGCATGGCCATGTTCGTTGGTGATGGCGAGCTCCGAGCTCCGGCCATGGTGCCCCCGCCCCTCCCTCGATCGGCCACCGCTGCCACCACCAGGCCTCCTAAACCACCCGATCTCCTTCCCCACCGCCTGACCTGCTTGCCACCCCTAGCCGGGCCCTTCTATAGCCCGCGGGAGTTGGCTTCTTCTCCCTCTCGGCGACCTCCTTCTTGCTAGAACCCTAGACACCGCCGCCATCGTCTTTATCTCCGGTGCTCAATCTGGTCTAGGAGGAGTAGGAGGAGGAGGAGGAGGACCCGACCTACCTTGCTGGCACCGCCGCCGCCACTTGCTGGAGGGGAGGGAGGGAGCGAGGAGCCGCGTCGGTGAGGAGGGCTCACATGGGCCGTAGGCGCGAGAGGGAGTCGTACGGTCACAACGTCTCGCGACCTTTCGCGAAGTAACTTTTCTGATTATATAATACTATGTGTCGACGGATTTGCTTGGGAGTGGTTGCGGGGTAGGGGATTTAGCGTCTTGGCGCTGCCGGAGCTGGAGGCAGGGGAGGCTGGGCTGCGCAACGAATGGAGAAAGAAGTGGCAATAGTGGATTGGGTGGTTCTGTGGCTACTGGAAGAAAAAGGAAAAAGGTGGGGTTGGAGTAGGAGATTTGGACCCTAAATTTCATATCCAACGGTTAAAAATGTAACAAATCTTTTTCCAACAAAAATCCATCATAAGACAGCTAAACGGTCGGTTTTCTTAAAGTAAAATGTTGGATATGTCCATACACCACACAAAGCACATGCTGAGCACTGAACGCACCACAACGTGTTATGTAACCTTTTTGGGATAAATCTTGGAAAAGAAATGTGAGCATCTATGTTGAGTCAGTGTTGATCACTTGGGTAGGTTCTTGCACACACGCCTAATAATATGTCAACAATGTTTGATGTCTTAGAATTCAATGCCACAAAACATTAAATTCTGATGTCTTCAAAACTAATTAGAACTAGTTGTATTGAATATAAACATACCCTGCTTTGTCTAAACACTACTACACAAACTTCATCACGACCGATTCATAACCCATCTTCATGTTTTCGCCGACGTTTGTAAAAGTGGCCAGTGCTAACAAAACTTATCACTGCCGGTTCGGAACTAGCTGTGATAAACTTCATCAACATAGTGATGTCATTTCCATCACCACCGGTCCAGCATTCAATCCAGTAGTGATGAACCGGACATTATCACCTATCTGGCATACGATCCAGTGGGGTGATGAAGTTGGACATAACCATTGGTCAGGAATATGATCAGGCAGTGACAAAGAGCTCATAACCTCTGGCATAAGGTTTGTTTAGGAGGTGATGAAGTGATTTTACCGCCATTGAGATATATTTATCCGATGGTGATGAAGAGCTCATCACCTCGCTTGATCTAGCCATGATGAAGAGCTCATGACCGCTTCGGCACCATTTTATTCAGCAGTGATATCTTGATCATCACCGCATGTTCTACCAAATGACCAATGGTTTGTCAAGTGCTGGTGGTAATAATACATTCTTAGAAAACTATTTTAAATATAACATCAAGTCTAGGACCTACACAATGCATCAAAATATACATCTGGTTCAAGTCATGAGTCCATACATTAAATCCGACCACAGTGTTTTCACAAGAACACGAGATATAAATTTGAACACTAGTCCAAGCTAACACACAAATATGTATAACATGCGATTGTCGGGTGAACAAGATGAATTAGAGTTGCAACCTAATTAGATAATGCAATGGTCGCGAAAGGGCCTGTAGTCTAGTGGTTACAAGAACCTCAGTAGCACCTCAGGTCCTGAGTTCGACTCCCCGTGGGAGCGAATTTTCAAGGATTTAATGGCTATGTGCTTTCAGTGGTAGGCGACGTTCCCGTCGACATCAAGGCGCATGTGGTGACTTCGTCAATCTCGAGGATTTGCTGACCCAGTCTTCGAAGAAGCTCATAGGGGTAGGGTTTGCATGTGTGCGTTTGTAGGGGTGAGTGTGCGTGCTTTGTGAGAGTCTGTGTTATACTGTGTAATTCTTGAAAAAAGATAATGCAATAGTCTCCATTTGGATTCAAGACGTGGTCGATAATGAAACCAACAAGCTGTTCTTAAAGCAGATATGTCTCTAAATCAGTCAACTTTGGAAAATTGTTTTCAGCGCTGGATCGGCATTTGATCCGATGACCACAACCATTTTCACCACCAGATCATATGGCAACTGGGGGGCAGTGAAAACAATTTTCACCGCCAGATCATATGGTGACCTGTGATGAAAACAATTTCCACGACCAGTTGTTTGTCGCCTAATTGTGCCCCGCCTGCCTTTGAACCAGCGGTGAAACTTTACCACCGCCGAATAAGTACAAACCGGCGGTGAAAATGGTGCTACGAAAGTGAAATCCGTAGTAGTGAAAGAAATGTTTTTGTCAAACTATATATTCTTAGAATGGTGCTATTTTGCAGGTAGCAGTCATTGGGTTTTGCGGACGTAGCATTTTACCAGATATCAATTCAAGAGCTCTAAAATCTGTGCTTGATGGAGGTTTGTAGAAGCAACAAAAGAAAAAAAAAGCAATCCTCTCTTTAGTAGTACATATATAAAGTAGAGATATAGAGATAGATTATAGATATAGAGATAGATTTTAGAGATAGAGATAGAGATGCACTGAATTCTTTTTTTTTAAAAAAAATTGATGTACTTGCATTCTTAATAGACATTGTAGTTGGTACATCATCGTGAACCTCATGTGAATCTGCCGCATGGCTGTCTCGTCCTTTGCCACACAATGCCTGCACTGGCCACCACAGGAGGACGTCGGCATCTGGTGGTCCTCCACGCTGCCCCGCCCTCAGCGGGCAACTGGCAGCAGCAGCTGCTGCCGGGGCAGGATTCCGGCCTCTCGCCGGGCCAGAAAATAGGTATGTGGGTGTTGTTGAGCGTATCATGTGCCGCTCTAGCAGGACCTATGGCCCAGGACCGCAGATCAGCGTTTAGGGTATTAGAGAACACCGCCAGCAGACACTACTACATGATTAATTTTGCATGACGTTGCACTTTAATTGACGGAGGTGGTCACAAAATTCAACCACCTAGGAAAATACCGAACGATTAACGGAGGCGGGCATTTTCATTTACGGAGGCGGTCACTTTTGCCCGCCTCGTAAAATCAATTTATGAAGGCGGTCAAAAAATGCCCGCCTCAAAAAATGGATTTACGGAGGCGGTCATCTTAAGGCAACCGTCACCGAAAATAAGACGTCCGCGTCCATAAAACAATTTCTGGAGGCCGATAGACTATAATGTCCGCCTACAAAATGCCGAGGCCCAACAGGCCCAAAAGCCAATAACCATCTTCGGATATAAATACTAGAGCTTAGGGTTTCCCGTTCACTCCTCTTTCTCAGACCGAGCCCGAGCGGCACCTTTCCCCTCGCACGTCGTGACTCCTCTCCTCCAACACCGAGCCCGAGCGACGCCTCCCTCTCCTCCAAGACCGAGCCCTAGCGGCGCCCCTCCTCCCTCCCTCTCCCTCCTCGAGACCTCCCTCTTCTCATGACCTCCCGAGTAGCATTTGTCTTCCCTCCTCGCGACCTCCCTCTCTCTCCAGCACCGGGGTCTCGCGACTCAGCAGCGGATCAAGGCAGATTCTGGTGGATCGAGACGGATCGAGGTAGGATCCATGAGCTCCGACGGTGGATCGGGGCAGATCAAGGCCGATCGAGGTTGATGCAGCGGTATGCGACAGCGGGCAGCCTGATCCGGCGGCGTGCGGCCAGATCCCGGTGGCGGTGAGTGGCGCAGTGGCCATGGTGGTAAGCGGCGCGTGAGAAGCAAGGGCGCGTGCAGCAGACTCGATCCGGCGCCGACAAAGGTACAAATCCCTCTCTCTCCATCTCCCTCACTCTTCCCTCTCTTCC